AAGAGCTGGACGTTTAGTAAGCAGCTGCAATGTCATTAAGCAATCACTTTTTGAACACATGTTTACAAATAAAGTCAGTAAGTAAACACTAAGCTATAAGTTGTAAAATGTCTTCTTCCTGTGATTTTGCATAGGAGACTCTGCTTAGTTCAGTGGTGCTAGACACTTGGCGAGCATCATTTTAAATTCTTAGGGGATTCCCCAGAGGACTGGCAATATGTCAAAACAGTTTCTCTCTCTCTCTCACAGTGTCTCTCTCTCTCTCTCTCTCTCTCTCTCTCTCTCTCTCTCTCTCTCTCTCTCTCTCTCTGACATTTCTAAAATGGGATAAGTGAAGGGTGGAGAAATGTGCTGGCCAGTGTAATGTTTATGGCAGTGTGATACCCCACAAGATGTCAGGCAGCCAATTGCACTCATTATTGCCTGTTCGAGGAGACAATCCTCTCCGATACCAAAAGTCAGAACAGAATTGCAGGATGGAACAGATGATGTGAAAGTATGGTGCCTTCTCATTCTTAAGAGCTTGAAGCATATCTGTGCAATAAATATAATTTTCTAAAGGGTGTAAAGAATGGAGAGCCGTATCTTCAACCTGGCAAGCTTTGTAGCATGAAAATAGATCACTGCACATTTTAAACTCGAGGAACAGGTTGACACATACATATTTAAATGTGATTTTAGATGTTTTCGAATATCTGAAAATAGATGGATTTTATTTCAATGAGTCGTTGGATCTTTTCTGTGCCAGTTAATGCTATTTTTCTTCAGTAATCCCTTTTCTCATTTTTATTAGTTCTTTGAGACTTTCATATCATGTGTTATGATACACCATCTGCCCCAAACTCCTCCAAGATCCACCTCCTCTACCCACACAACTTTGTGTCTTTGTTTCTTTCTTAATACATAGAGTTCAATTTGTACCACTCATATATCCTAGGATGTGTAGCCTTTCCCTAGAATGTGGCTGATCTACCTGAGGCAACCAGAGTCCTATTCTTTGTGCTTTGACCAGTTGTGTCTTTCATTGTTAAATTTCATCTATTGCAAATAGGTTTGCTGAAGATTGATAGATGCACTAATCTATGACATTACAAATCATTAGGAATTGGTTTAATATTAGGTCCTTTCAGCAGAATAAAGAAACCATTTTTGAAAGCTGTAAGAGAGAAAGACCGAGTTACCTATAATGCAAGTTCATTAAAATAATACCTGGTTATACCCGAGAAAACTTTAAAGCCAGAAATGTGTAAAAAGATGCACTCCAAGTCTTTAAAGACCACAACTGTCATCCCAGACTATTATACCCAGAAAAACTTTTAGTTAATTTTAAGGAGAAATAAAGGTGTTCCAAGGTAAAGACAGATTATAGGAAGAATTTATGCCTATTAAGTCAACCCAACAGAGGCTACTGGGGAGATTGTTTTAATCTGAAGAGAAGAGTAAACATACCCAAGAAGTCATGGGGAACAAACAAACAATTGTCTTTTTGTTATTCTAGACTGCCCAACAATTTGCCATGTAACCCAGCCTGGCCTGAAATTCATGTCAGCCCTTTTGTTTCAGTGTATTGAGTAGTAGAAGTATGACTGTGGCACTTTTCTCCAACAGTCAGCAGCTATAGTGAAAAACTTAGTTTTAAAATGGTTTATCTTGTATATTTAGAGGATGCTTATTAAAAACAAACCAATTTGAATTAGAAAGCAATATAAAAAACAATGTCCTGAAATTCACTGTAATTAAAATGAGTTGACTTTATATATTTTCAATCGTACTATTTTTAGACTTCTGTTAGAAAATATGTACATCAGGGAGCATTTTGAATTGGAAATTTCTAGAAAACTGAAATGGAAAATTTCGGTTTTTGCTTCAGAGGAATTGCTACCTTAAGGGCTGACTAAAAGCATTTTTTTTTTCTGTATCTCTATCAAGTGGATTCAAAAAGTGTCATTACAGTGAAAGTAACCACTGTGTGTCATTGTTCTGAGAAGGCTGGGAAAATGCTTTAAGAGGAGGTAAATTACATACTAAAGTAAGCAATTTTATTAAAACGTGGACATCAAGTTGAAGGAAACTCAGCAAACCCCGTAGTTAGGCTTCCTTGGGTATGTTCTTTACTTAACAATTGGAGAAATTACTAGTCATTGCACTAGTATTAAAGGTATCTAAGTGGCAGACGACAGCCATCTCTGAAACAAAACTAAGCTACACATGGCACCTTTGGCATAAAACTTTTACTAGGAAATTTCATATTTTTGAATTTCAATATGAAAGTGATTACAATAGAGTAACACAGCTGTTAACAAAGTAAGGTCAATCTGCAATTCTTAAAGGAGCATTTTCCGGCTCGATTATCATCCTGTGAGTCACAGTGACCTCAACAACATCTGATAAACACTCGGGTACACAAAGTTGACTTATCAACCAAATAATTTTTAACACTGTTGGGTTTACTATCTCATGATTAACAAAGAATAATTCTTAATTTTCAGTATTGTTGCTAAAATTAAGTGACATAATCTCATGTTTTCCTACTGTTGAAATACATTCTGTATACACAAGGTGTTTTCTTTCTCTTCCAGAGATTTGTTCATTATGGCACAATCCCCAAAGTAAATTTCCTATATAAAAGAATTTATTCAACTTTACGAAGCATTCATTGTAATACAACCTCATGTCTTGCTGCATTTTTCTGACCAGCATATCCACATATGTGATGTTTACTCAGCATCCATTTAACAGCTGTGTTTTCCCCCAAACAATGTCTTCTGTGTTATCACAATGCTTAGGCAACATCTAGGATTCTATCTGTAGTTCCAAGACTCATCCGAGAGGCTTAGAACACAGCTCCTTACACAGGATAGGAATAACTATTATAATTCATTCCTTTACCCACATCATATATCCCAAACTCCTTGTACACAACCATCTTCAAGAGATGACTTTTTGTTGTTTTGTGGACTTATTTATTTTATTATTATGTGTGTGATAGAATATTTTGCCTGAATGTATGTATATATGTGCAGGCACCATGTCTGTGACTGAGAAAATAAGAAGATAGTGTAGGGTTTCCTAGGACTGAGTTAGAGATTACTGTGAACTGACTATGGGTGGTGGGAATTGAAATGGATCTTCTGCAAGGGTAACAAGTGCTCTTCACTATGCAGCCAACACTTTAGCTCCAGGAGATGGCATTTCTTATTCCATAGAGAAAGATCCAGCTGTCGACTCTATATCTCTTTACTCACCTATATCTGAGTCAGGAGACTTTGTCTTTCCTTCAGATACTGCTAAAGTTTATAGCTCAGACAATCCCATCAATTTTAGTCCTATATCCTTTCCTCATTCAACTTTCTAAACACATAGCTCTGGAAGAGCACTATCCTCATTCTGTTACCTGTTTTCTCTGTTGTACCCTGTCAGCCGTATCATTTTTAGAGTGTAGATGTAGAATGTATGCTGAAGTTTGAAGACTGGGTTTCAAGGTGTCACTGGGAAGCACTGCAAACTGTAAGAGCGATTAAGTCACTGGAAGCATGGTGTTCCTACCGTGATGTCGGCCCTACCTTAGACTCAGAGATGAAGCCAACAGACTATGGACTAAAACTAATTCTCTGAAATCATGAGCCAAATTAAATTTTCCCTTTGTGTAGTTGATTTTCTCAGGAGATATCTTTACAGCAGTGGAAAACATGAATACAACTGTACCCCACTCTGAAGTTACCTGTCCTTGCATGGCCTCAGAAATGAATTCAGAGGGGCAAAACTTTGCCAGTGATTCCACACTAACCCCAAATTTCATTCTAGATACAGTAGTGGATTCCTGTCTGAAGCTGTTTCTAATTTGTTTCTTCCCATTTTCCTTTAAACTTTCTTATTCAGGCCTTAACTCCTATGTAACAAAAATGTTACTGTTGAGACCATAAACTTTTATAGCTAATTGTAACTTCTCAATTTCTTTAAATATTTGTCCTAATTAATGATTATCTTTCTTTATGTGATTAAAAATTCAATTTGAGAATCCAATGGGAAATCTATAATTATCATAGCCCAATCCAGATTCTTCTTCTTCAAGCCAAATCTGAAATCCAGAGTTTTCATAAATCCCTCAATATCAACATTCTCTTGTCATCATAGAGACATGAGTAATGGATCTTGGATGTTTGTTTAGTTTTGAATCCTGTCCTCTCTACTTCATGGATAGCACTTTAAAACTATATAATTTGACTCCCATAATCTCAGCAGGAAGACTATAAAAACTAGGCTAACCTGGGCAATTAAAGTAACACCTTGTCTCAAAAAATGATTAGATTAAATGAAATTAAATTATAAGTTATTACAACTTTACAATAGTTATACCTATGACTTTCAACTCACCTGGATGGAAAAGACCTCACAGTGTCCACAGGCTCTACTTGGTGTATTCCCAGATTATAATTTTCTCTCCTACTTTTCTCTACTATGTCTCAGAAGAAACAAAAATTTCTAAAAAAATCACAATAAAAGTTTAACATGATTGACAATAATAAAAATGCAAACTGAAACTTTGAGACTTCGTTCTACTCCATCCAGAATGGCTAAGACCAAGAATATGTTGACTTTTTTAAGTAAAGGGTCAACTTGCAGCTGAGCATTGGTGATGCTTACCTTTAACCCCTGCACCTGGGAGGCAGAAGCAGGCTTATCTCTGTGCGTTCGAGGCCAGCCTGGTTTACAGAGCAAGTTCCAGGACAGCCTTCAAAACAATACAGAGAAACCCTGTCTCGAAAAACCAAGATAGATAGATAGATAGATAGATAGATAGATAGATAGATAGATGGGGATCAACTTGCTAACTTGCAATAAAGAATACATCACTCATCAAGAACTATAGTTGATGTACTCTTTCTAAATTATATCCTCCACAGTACTCTTGTAACTTGAAATATAATGTTATACTCATGAGTTTGAACTTCTGTGGCTGTAATGTTACTTTTCAGTTTGAGTACAATGTTCTAACAGATGACAATGATTGTTAAATGTCTTGTCTCAATCTCAACTTGTTTTGTATAGCTTGGTTTTGGTCTCTATTCTTTTATTCTGATTGAAAGTTTCCCTTCCTTCTAACATCTCTGCCATAGGTATTTTCAGGGATGTGCAACAAGAAGCCTCATATAAAGCCTGAGCAAAAGAAGGGAGGAAAACAGTCGGATTCCTGGCTTTCCTGACAGTGAAATACACCTCTTCAGTAGACTTAGCTATTGCAGGTTATGCAACTCTTTCCTGTTGTGTACCACATAAAATATTCAAAATTTTAGAGAAATTATATATCTTTGAGAATTCAGATGCCACAAACTTCTCCATACCCTGCGGGCTATCATGAGCTATCAAGACTTCTCTTTCCTTCTCTCTTCCTTACACACTTACACATGCCCCTCCCTTTTCCTCTCTTTCTCCTCCCTCTCCTCCCCTCTCCTGGTTTTCTCATCTCTTCATGTATTCTCTCTCTTTTCACTTTCTCCCTCCTCCATTAACTTCCTGTCCTGTCCTTCCTTCCTTCTTTAACATTCCACCCCTTTCCCTTATATTTCTCTGCCCCCCCTTCTCTCCACAGTTGTCATTTAATCTATTGAATTGGAAACCTAATGCTCTTTTCTATTTCAACATATATTATCAGTGCCCTTTCTTTACAATTAATCCTGTACCTAAGTATCACCTTTAATTTCTGGTGGAATAAGCTAGGAAGATCAGTAGTTATCGGCCTATATTCCTACATGCAACAACTTAACCCCAAACAATGAGCACAGAGCTTACTGGTTATTGAAGCAAGAGTTAAGGGGAAGGGAATTCTGCCTTTATATCTGATGTACCACATGTAAAATGAAATCTAAGATCATGTCCTCAGTGAGCCACATTCTTGAATATTTTGATCATCAGATGTATTGTAGCTTCTTGTATACATTTTCTTCCTTGTATCTCCTACATAATCCTTTATATCTCCTAAACTTGCAGCATATCCACTGGTTTTGATCTACTTTCAATGATGCTTTGTGCATGAACTTCAGCGTGTGTGACATGATGGGGGAATTGGGAGGAATGCTACTGTAGACATGTTCATTCTGAGGTGTATCTGGAAGATGACCTTTCCCAGAAGGATGCAGCTGAGCACAGGTCAGTAAAATTCCATATAGATCTCTTCATTAGATGATAGTAAAGGCTAGTGATGTCTTATGCAGATAAATATAAGCATGTTATATATTATAGTTGAGGCATAAAATAGCCCCAGAGCTCATATGATAAAGCTTGGCACTCTACATACTGTTTACAGATTAGGCTTTGGGGAAGTATTTGGATCATGAAGGCTCTGATGTAATCAATGATTTAAACCACTAATAGATTCAAAGATTTGTGGTCTTACAGTGAAGTGGTAGAATCTAGGAGATGGGACCTGCTTGAGGAAATGGGGGATTCTGTGCCTCCTTCTCATCTTTAATTGAATCCTATCATGAGGTAACAGCTACCCTCAGCCATGCTCTTCTGCCTTCATACAGGCCTGAAAGCAGCAAGATCACCTGAGCACAAGCTAAAATCTCTGAAGCCACAAGTAAGTTGTTCTCTCAAGGATTTTGCTACAGAGACAAATGTAACTAACATTTTTTTTTTTGCTACTACCTCTCTCACACACATTTATGTTGAGAATATTTTGTTTAACACTGACATGGTATGCCGAATACTTTGTGACCTTGAAAAAATACACACACCCTATTTTAGTGGTCTCCAGTATCTAATTAACTCCAATCGTTTGTGCATCTTAGTATTTGAACACCATGTTTCAGGTCAGCATCCAGTTCATTGTTCCCCAATTTACCCTTATTTATCAATGATATTTGTGAGACCAAACATCTAATTCCTGTTAGATTTTGAACTTCCTGAGGATAATCAGCAGAACTTCTTTGAAGAACTTCTAGGGTCACTTACTTGTAGAAATTGATGGATGAACAAAAACATTTTACAAAGATGATGCTTACTCTGGACACACAGAGTAGCATTTTCTAGGTTTGTCCCTGGATGCTGAGGAAGGATCCCTGTATTTACTGATTAAAGTTAAAGTGCAGAAATTTCCATTTAAACTATTTGGGGAATGGTTTTAGGAAGAAGAGGGTTTTTTTGTTTTGTTTTTCTTTTGTTTTGTTTTGTTGTAACTCAGATGTGCTTATTGGCTACTATACACACAATGTGACCATCTTTCCAGTTTTTGTTTTCATAGTTATTACTGTCAAAGCTGCTAGATACAGCCTATAGATTCATCTAGATTGACCTGCTTTATCATTCTTCACATAGCTCCCAATCTTGTCACGTTATTAATAAGATGCTATTGATGCTAATATGATAGCTCTTATCCTGACTTGTCATCAGTTATTCTTCTGGTTTTCCTTAAGAATATGGAGTAGTTATTCCACCAATCAAATCTAAACAAGCTCACCCTCACCACCCAGCATTTGATAGAGACATCTTGCAACAGGTATTTTTTTCTCAGTTTTCCCCATAAAGCCTCTGTGCTGCCATTTCATACTTTTTACCTCTTGTTCTGAGCATGCCCATTTCTGTTAATTATCCAAGCTTGTGCAAACACTGCGTGTTCTCTAGAATCCAATGCCTCATGTTGTTTACATCTTACATGCACCCAGATAACCAGAAAAGCATCTCCAAGTACCAGAGTCACACTCTCCATGTTTGGAACTCAGTCCTCTTTGAATTTCAAATCAATTCTTCTGTGATAGTAATTTTTGGATTGCTGCACTATCTCTTTACTTACTGAACTTCCCACAAGATAATTATTTATTTTGACAAGTATTGATGTTTGTAGAGACTATCTATTCAATAAATATTTATTGAATAAATTAGACAATGTTTATGATTTTTGCACTTTCCTGAATCTTTTCATGAATAAGAATCCTGAAGTTTTAAAGTTAAAGTCTTGTTAACTTGTTAAAATACAAAGCTCATACCTTAGGATATGCTAAAATTTATAAAATCTGCAACAGAAAAATATCTTTGCCTTTGATTTTAAAACTATTTGAAGATCTTGTTAATAGCAAAATTTAGCTTTCCTCAATATAAACTTAAAATGAGTACGATGAATATAATAAAAACACAGCTCTCTTCTGAATATCCAGTGCTTTAAAATTTTTAATGTAGACTGTATAATGCAATTTTTATTTTTCCAAGTTCTCAAATATTTCTTCAGAACGATCTTGCTAGTATATTACATTCCTGACATGTCTGCAATAAAATCTGGAAGGTTTAAATACAATGTGTTGCCCATTAACTCTGTGAATTAGGGCAGCTTCTAAAAGGAAAACAACTAAATTGCAGTCAGCATGAAGAAATTGGACTGGGTTATGATTGCTATCTGTAATCTGTGGCCTTACATTATCCTGGCATGTGCCTTAAGGGCACAGGAAGTATTCTAAATTAATTTTAGATGATATACAGTTATGTTTCCTTTAATCAAAGAATCCAAGAGCAGTGTGTCCCTTGATGCTCTACTATCATGTTTTGAATCCTCAGAACATCATTTTACAAGGTGACTTATTTATAGGAAAATTCTACTTTTTTGCCCAAAGAAATTTTCTTAGATATTGGCAACAATATTCACTTCTTACTTTCTCCTAATGTGACTCTCTGAGATAATACACAAACACACACATACACACACGCAGAGAGAGAGAGAGAGAGAGAGAGAGAGAGAGAGAGAGAGAAGCAGAGAGAGTCCACATGTGTGTATGGAAGTCCGAGGACATGAGAGAGAGAGAGAGAGAGAGGCAGACAGAGACAGAGACAGAGACAGAGCACAGGGGCCACACACATGCACATATTTCATATTAGTTAGCCTATCTTCCCATGGTGTGCACATACTTCATATATGACATCAGATTTCAGTTAACCTGTCTTCTTGTGGTGTTTCAACATGCTCTACGGCTGCTAATAACAGATACTCATAATGCTCATAAATCAGGAATAGGCTTTGCGATTCCTTCCTCATTCTTTTTTTAAATTTTTTTGTTTGAATTAGAAACAGCATTGTTTTACATGACAATCCCAGTTCCCATCTCCCACCCGTCTTCCCCTACTACCCTCCCCAACTAAAACCCTATCTATCACATATCCTTTCTGCTCTCCCTGGATGGTGAGGCCTTCCTTAGGGTTTCATCAGACTCTATTGTATCCTTTGAGATAGGGCCTAGGCCCATTCCCGTATGTCTTGGCTCAGGGAGTATTCCTCTATAGGGAATTGGCTCCCAAAGTCCACACCTATGCTAGGAATAAGTACTGAACTTCTACAGGAGGTCCCGTAGATTTCTGAGGTTTCTTTATGTTTAATAAAATTTTCTTTATTTTGACATGTCTATAGATCCATTTGTTACCCATTTTCCTCCAAGAAACGTATCTTACAAAGCTATCTCATAACAAGGACATGGGTGTTGTTATAATAAACATATATAAATAAAAATGCCTACCTCTGGCACCTAGAGCAAAAAAAATACTTTATTAAAGCATACAATAGAAATAGTGAAAATCAGAGCAGAAGCAGAAGAGATAAAGAAGAGGAAAATAGAAAAAATAATTTAAAACTTGTTCTTCAAAAAGATTCATAAAGTTGATTAAATGTCCAGTTAGGCTAGCTAGCAATGGAGTATGTTTAAAAGCTCTATGACCTGTAAGAAAACTGAAGACAGAATCATCACTGAGGAAACTTTGAACACTAAAGAATGATAAGCAAATATTATGAGAAAGTTTATAGCCAATAATTTTGAAGTCTTAGATGAAATAGCCAATTTCATTAAAGATATGGCTACCAGAACTCCCTGGAGAGAAACAGATAATCTGAATATGTTTGTAACCATTTAAGAAATCAAATTACTAACACTAACTCTCCCTAAATGAAAAGAGCCCAATTTTTGTGATCAAATTGGTGGATTCTAGCAAATATCTAGAAAGGAAATGATGCCAGTTTCCCCAAAGACCCTCCATAAAATAAAAACTTACCATGTTCTCATTTATTCGTTGAAGTAAGCCGTGTTCAGATACCCAAACCAGCTAAATATTTCACAAGAAAGGACAGCTACAGATAAGCAGCCATCATAAACATTTATGCAAATATTCTCAACAAAATTCTATCATGTACAACAAACAAGTGAGACTTATTCCAGGTACACAGAACAGATTGAACATTTGAAAGTCAATGAATGCAATCTTTTTCATCAAAGATTAAAAAAGAAGAAGAAAAAGAAAATCAATGAGGCTCTCAATAGACACAAAAGGTGCTTCAACTTCGCAAAGCCAAATCTTTAGGAAAAGAAAACCCCTCAGCACTCTAGGGGAAGCTCTCTGCTTGCTTGATTTACTGAAAAATATGTACACAACAACTACTGATGACATCATGCTCAATGGCAACAGAGAAGCTGGGTGTGTCCTTTACAAAATAGGAAAAGAAAGAAAATGAAAATGAAAAAAGCTACAAGTCTCCTGTTCAAAACATACAGAAAATCCTAGCAAGTATAAAAAGAAAAAGAGGGCAAACAACATATAAACTTGGGAAAATAAACAGAAGCCCCTTTTAACTATGTGAAGTTATTATCTACCCATATAGAACATTGGAAGTAATAAACAATTGAATAAAAAGTTGCAGTCTAAGCTGGGCATTGGTGGCACACGCCTTTAATCCCAGCACTCGGGAGGCAGAGGCAGGTGGATCTCTGTGAGTTCAAGGCCAGCCTGGTCTTCAGACCGAGTGCCAGGATAGGCTCCAAAGCTACACAGAGAAACCCTGTCTCAAAAAAACCAAAAAAATGTTGCAGACTATGATGTTAATATACAGAGTATGTTGAATTCTCATATGCCAGTGATAAACAGTGGAATTTGAAATTGAAACGTCACTAGAGTTGCACCAAAAATAGGTAAAAGAATCTAGCAAACTGTGGGTGGTAGAACAATTCTGTAATTCCAGTGTTCCTAAGTCGTGTGCCAGATAACCATTAATTTGAGTCTATCCTTGGCTATAGAGAAAATTCCAGATCAGTATTTGCTATTTAGGGAGACCATGTCTGAAACCAAGTAAATGGTCCAGTTCTAAAATATGGAGAAATGTGCTCAGGATTAATATGCAGAAACTACAAAACTCTAAGGACATTGGAGATTAGCTTAGCCGGTGCTGTTCCAGATTTTATTCTTTATTTTGTCTGCAATGTATTGTAGTACATTAGGATGCCTTTGTTGTAAAATTTTGTGATGAGAGGTTTTTTTTTTTTATAAAGAAAACAGACTCTTCAATGTTTTCAGCATTTTGATACAAGTTTTAAAGTGTTTTCTGCCAGATTTGTAATTATTTAGAGTGGCAGGAAATGACAGTTGTGACATTATATAAATACTGCAGGGAGATAATGATGTATTGATAGCTGGCATCATGGTTGAGTCACTAATGCATATGCTTCTTTCAAAGAGTCTTTCCTGATCATGTCAATCATCTTTTGAGTGACCTGCTTTAATGCTTCAATTCCAACCCTTACACCAGTACCTTACACTTCTGAAGTTCAATGTGCA